GATGTGTAGACAGCACAAGAAATCGTCAAATCTGTAGCTAACTTTCCCATTTTTCAGCCTACTTCAAAAATAAATAACAACCCATATACACCTCCTTTCTAAATGGACACCTGTCTGTAGAAAAACCCTTCCACCAGATGATACAAAATTCATATAATCCTTTTTGCTACATCTTCTGCAAATACAGAAACTTGGTTCTGTCCATTTGTAACCCATGTTAAGAGGCATTTATTTTGAATATCAATTTTATAGTGGTTTAAACCAGAGGGCTTTCAGTCTCTGATGGCACTTATTGGGACTAATGGACAAGGTATTGGAACAAGGTAAGGATGATTATTAGGTGAAACACAAATATGTGCTAGAGATTTAATTGACTGAAAAAGAAAATCAACAGATATGTTCCAACAAAATCATCATCAGTACATGAAAAAACTACAAACAAAACTAATATTTAATGATTTTGTTTAAATAATTATGATTAAACAGGGTAGATTTTTTAGCTCCAAATCCTTCTTACCAAAAGAGACCAAAACATTAGGGGAAAAATAACATGTCTACAGAAACACTTGAAAACTCAAAGTAGTTCTTCAAACTTTCAGCTTCTAACTTTCATTTTATCAAGTCTTAAACCACCCAGTAATCAGGCCCTAGGATTTCACAGTAACAATCGTTTCCAGTACTGTGTTATTACTGTGTTTGAAAAACAAAGGAACTGAAAAACTGTTCCCTATACTACTCTGATGACAGGTTTAGCTGGAAAACATTCAAAGTATAAAAGGCATCAGACAAATGTTCACATGCATAGTAGGCAAGTGGTTTGCAGCTTGAAACACCTGGCCTGATTTGTTTGGGCTCAAACAATATTTATCCAAGTATTATTAAAGGTTAAGAAAATCTGCAGTTATAAAAATCCAATAATAATATATTAGTTCTAAAGCAAGTGTGTTGTTTCTGTACAAGAAAATATTCCTGAAAATGAAGTCATTACTAAATGATTAGCAGAATGCTCTGATCAAAAAACATATCAACATCTTAAACCTTTGGCTTGAGAGTTTGCGGTAGTAGCTCTCAAACTTGAAATGTTTGGCTTCGTATTAGAGCATGTTTTTTTGGCACATATTTTTATGTCTTACTTATCTTGATAAAAACAATTTGGATTGCAGCTCATTGAGCATCTATGTCAGTAACCTTGAAGACCTTTCTGATACATCTGAGGATGAACGACAAGCTCTAGACATATATATTGATCAACTTTATGAGGAAATGGATAAAGGTACTTGAAGAATTCATATAATAATAGTTTTCGTGGGTTTTAAGTTGGCTGGTAAAGTTAAAACTTTAGTAGCGTTGGTAAGCGTTAATTCCTTTCTAAATTTCAATAATCCTTGACTTCCTTACCTTTTTTTGTTTGTTTTCTTTTTTTGTACAGTTTCCGGCCAGTTTCTAAACTGTGAAGGCTCTGGATTATATGCTCTTCAAAGTTGTTGTAAGTTCAACAGGTTTACAAAGTGACTACAGAAATTTGGAGGTTTGAAATTTTTTGTCAGGGACATTTTAAGGGTAGGAAATTTTGCAATAACTTACAGTCTGCTTAGAGAATGCAACCTTAATACTTGGTGATTGAGGAGACCTGGATACATAAAATGTCTGCAATTTTTTTAAAACTGATGTTTGTAATTTTTTTAGGGTTACACCCTGGACTGCTGGACTTTTGGGAATTTGGGTGAAGCCTAATAGGACTTAAGGTTTTATAACCTGCCATGTGAAAACGTGAAAACGATGGTAGTACTACACATCTCTGTGCTACATGCATTATGGCCAGCGCCTTGCACTTGTACAAAGCCATATCACCTGGGCAATGGCAACCATGGACAACTGTTTTACCCTCAACCTCATCTGGGCTTATTACTATGAAATATCTCATTGGACATCCCATTTGCCCTTCACTGCCAGGGCAAAAGGCTACGAGTAGTACAACATTTTCTTTAGAAATAGTTGAGCAAGCAAATTACTGAAGCGCACATTAAATCACCATGCACAAGAGAAACGAGATGCAGAGGAAGGAAGAAGGAGTCCCTTCTGTGTGTCACCTTCCTCGCGGGTGGCGATTTTTATGCGCACTTGCATATTTCATTTGCTATATTATCCTCGAGGAAAATGAGGGACTAATTGTAGTCAATTAAATGATGAGCCCAAATAAGGGAGAAACAGCTGTCCATGGCTGCTAATTCCCATGTGATATGGCTGTGTTCCATACTGTGTAGAGTGACCATTGCTTTCAGATGTTTTCGTTATAACTTGGCCTAATTTACACTTATATGTTTTAGGTAACCACAGTTGTGAACCAAATGCAGAGGTTACATTTCCATTCAACAACTCAACACTGGTTTTAAAGGCACTTTACAACATTCAACCAGGAGAGGTACTAACACTTCACGTCAGACTTGATCACTTAGCTACATGGCTGACATTGGGCTGGTATAATTTATGGTACAACTAGTGGATTTTATTCTTCACACGCCTGATGAACAACTTATTTGCGAGTTAGGGATATAATTGTCTATTGTAATTAATTATTGTGCTATCTTGAAAAAAAAGCTCATATGTCAGTGTTCTGAGCGTATGTGTCTTAGTGGCTTTGTTGCTCTGTCTGTTTGTCTATGTGTTTCGGGGTGATTCGTCTATGAGTTGATGCTAAGAACCAATGAGAGTTTAGCATCTAAACTTTACAGTTCAAGGTCAAACAAGGGCACTTTGAGACCGCCATACTTCTGATTCGCTAAGAAGTAGTGCAACATTATTTTAACCAATCACCAAGAATGTTCAAAGTTAAGGCAAACTAATCATTGGACCACTGTAAAGACTTTACTGAAAACCGCTCTTAAAAAGTGATGCAAAGTCCAGTGGTATTAAAACAAATTCGTAACTTGCGCATTCTCCATAATACACCTTGTTTGATCCCCTTCCCCCCCCCCCCCCCCCCCCCCCCCCCCCCCCCCCCCCCCCCCCACCCCCCCCCCCCCCTCCCTGCCACTCCCCCCCTCCCCTCCCCTCCTTCCTCTCTTTCCCTTTTTTTTTCTGCTCTTTTCTTTCTTTTTTTTTTTTTTTTTTTTTTTTTTTTTTGTTGCTTTTTTCTTAGTTTTTTTTTTTTTCTCTTTCCCCCCCCCCCCCCCCCCCCCCCCCAACGACCTAGGGCTTCCCACAAGTTGCTTGGCAACTTTTTGGCAACTTCTCCTATTTCCAGCAACTTTTTCCATTTCGAGTAACTTTTTGCGTTCTGAGCAATTTCTCTTGTTATCTTCTAATTCTGAGATTTCGGAGCAGCTTTTAGTGCTTAAATTGGCTTTTCTTCCATATTTCACAATGTTTTATGAGTCAATCTATAAATTTCCTGAAAAAAAGGAGCAAACCCCCCCCCGCCCCCCCCCCCCGAGGGCAGATCATGGGCGCAAGATAAAAGTACCTGGGCTGCTCGTCAGCGGTTTTTAGAGAAAAATCAAAATGGTGGACGAAGATTCACACCCAACTGACTTGAGTGTCTCGGGTGAAGATCATTGAACAATTTTATTGGCTCATTACATTTTTTGGTTTTAATTGAGGACAAAGTTATTTAGCAACGCTGGTTACGCCGGAAAACTGCACAAAAATGCTTAGAAATCTTACTTTTGTTGTACAATTTGCATATTTTAGCATCAGACGAAGGAAAGTTTTGTTTTTCGAGCAACGTTTGGGCAACTTCCGTTGCAAAAAGCAACTTTTGACCAACGTTTTGAGGAACTACGGGAAACGTTTTGGAAACCCTCGAGCAACCTGTGGAAAGCCCTAAAAACACCCGTTTCGAATTATTAAAATCCATACTTGGCTCCGAGGCTGAATTAAGGGAATAAAACAAAAGAAATGAATTCTTCATCCCTGAATTTGTATTCTATTAATTCGCAGGAAATTGTGATTTGTTACCTTGGAGAGTGTGACAGAGACAGAAGTCGTTATTCAAGACAACGATTACTCAGGTATCTATACCGGTTGTACAACTTACGTCTATCATATTGCGATGGATAATGGATATGATGTACAATGAACTTAAAATGGCACTTTTGGCATACGAGTTGCAATTGTCGTGATAAAATGTAAATGCTTTAACTTTAACAAGCGTTAATAGGGAGCTAAAATGGACCTTACGAAACTACGACGGCGAGGGCAACGGCAACGTTAAAAAGCAATAGATTTAGTTAGCAAAACAACAACTCTGCACGTGCATCACGCTTTTCTGTACATTTCTTTGCCGTCCCTGCACGACTACGACGTGAAATGACCAAATTTTAAGGTTTTTTGAGGACGGGAATGGCAAGGCGATTAATTCTACCATCTCTGTCTGAACTCGGGCGTGGCCCCCTCTCTTCAGCTCCAACATAAATTGCCCTCTTTTAAGTAACTGGGCAACTTGGGATAATCACGAAATGGTTTGAAAGGATGCGGAGTCTATTTTTCAGCGAGGTTTTCATGGACGTCGCTGTTGTCGGATCGTAAGGTTCCTAAAGCAACAGCGACGGCGACGGCTACGAAAACGTCACTTAAAAAGTGAAGTCGCGCTGCTTCAAACTTTATCGCGCTTATTCCATCTCGTTTACTTCGTCAAATGTTGGCGAATGTTTTTGAAGTTCAATTCGAAAGGACTGTATTAAAGTTCAGGAAAAGAAAAAGAAAATGGTTGTTTTGTGTTCCCGTCCTCGACAAAACGTGAAGTTAGGCGTTTTCACGTTGTAGTCGTGCAACGACGGCTAAGAAGTGTACAAAAACGCGTGATGCACGTGCAAAGTTGTTATTTTGCCAATCTACACCTATTGGTTTATTGCTGTTCTCGTTGCCGTCGTTGCTCGAGCTCCCTAATATAACTGACGCTGTGGATGAAAGCCTGCATCGTAAACATTCAAATAATTCAAAGCTATTGAGTTGTACTTTCCTGCGGTGCTGCTTATTGTGTTGTACACGGTGGTTCTAACGTTTTTCTCTGCGTATGAAACTCATACTACGCGTCCTCATTCGCTATAGAACTTGGGAAATTACTTGTGAATGGCAAAATATTGAAAAGTCTCAGCTTCGTGTCAAGCATTATGTCAAACGTTACAAACAACAGAAATGAACTTTAAAACTGTTTCAATTTTCTTTAAGTTCAGTTGTCCATCGGTGCCTCCTTTTGTAATTGGTTTCACATTAATACCTTCTTTTAACGTTTTGAATGGTTATTTTTATGTTTCACTCAATTTGGTGGCGTTTCTTACTGTTTGAATTTGTTAAATTTCGTAACCTCACCTCCTTGAAACATTTTCATTTGTCTGTGAATGATTTGATTGACTCGTTTCTTTATTACAATGCTTACACTACGCTGCTCTTCAGGATATTTCAGATTGAGCATATCGCATGCGGCCTCTGGAAGCGAGGGTTTACGCTGCGTTATTATTTTTTTTATGTAGAGAAAATTACCTGTTTACCTGCACTTGTCCAAAATGTGAATCTGAAGCTGGCGATCCAGACGTCACGTCAAGCGAAGATGAAGACGATTCAATGGAAGAAGACGCCTAATCGCAGACATGCTCGCCACTGATGTCATCGATCACTCGTGGTGTTAATTCGCCTTCGCACCTGTTTCGCATCGCATTTCATACAGTATAACCGTAATACGGTGGCAATCTTCTCCTGCTCAAACAGATGCAAACACGAATTAATCAGGAGAACATAGGAAGGTTGAACAGCCTCCCTGGGGAGCCAACCTCTTCGCCCACGGGGAGCTGGTATCGTTCAACACGCTCCGAGTCATGTGAAGGGATATCAGCTGTTAGATCGCGCGCCTTGTCGTGGAATAGAAAAGGCAGACAAATCGTGATATCAAGCAACTAGGAGTGGCTCCAATCCCAAATCATTCTCGCGTAACGAAAGAGAAAACCATTCCACAGTGACTGCTAGTGTGGGACTGCTCACGGGCAAATCCAAACACCAAAACAACATTGAGGCTAGCCCTGAGCTTCATTTGTTCGCGTTCAGTGACCTTCAATCTCTTACCTCTGTATTTCTTTTTTTTTGGTCAATGACCAGTTATCCCTTGTAAATTGTAATGTTTCGCGCAATCACTTACCGTGTCAAGTACTCAGTTTCTTTTCTTCCTTTTCTTACATGTATGTCACTGGATGACCAGCAAAAGATTTTTGAGGCTCTTAAAGCATATAACTAGAAGATCTTTACCGTAACCACTGTACTAATAACGGCCGTTTTTCCTGGTTTCTTTTACTTGTTTGTTTGTTCTGTTTAGACCAATTTCATCCAAATCACTATATTACAGGTTAGACCCGGTTCAAACGCCGAATTTTTCATGAGCCGAACCCAATACATTGAATTAAATGAATGAAGAGTTCGGCGTCTGATCAATTAGGAACGCCTTTTTCAATATTGGAATGGCTCAGCCGTTCTTCCCGCGTAGCCCCGCCGGGAATTTCGACTGTTGACGACTGTGGAACGGCTTAGATTGAGACGCTGAACTTTTCATGTGCCTAACCTAATGCATAAATTATAATAACGTATTTTGCAAGCAGTTTGACCAAAATGACTATTTTTCTCCTTTTAAATTCAGTTTGGCTGGAATTAAGATCGGCGTCTAAATCAATTCAGCTAGTCTGAATAGTTTGGGTCGGCCTTAATTCGAAGCAGGTTCGGCTCATGAAAAGATCAGTGTCTGAACCGCACCTTGTAGCTTAATCCAAAACCAATCGTCACTTATTCGCTCACTTGTTTCCTTGGGCTTGGCCCCGGTAAATCGCGTTTTGCTGACAAATTCATTGATTGTCCCAAATTATCACCGAAAATGCTCTGTTAGTAAACATCTGATAAATGTTTGTATGTGTGTCTTCTTTGCCTGGTGTGGAAAAAAATGTTTTTAATTTGCTCAGTCAAACCCTGATAAATGAACCTATTTGTGAGGTTGCTGTAGACCCCCAAAACATCATTTCGCTACGCCACCACTGGTTTTCTTGCGAGATGACGTCTGAGAAACGACCACAGAAATTCCATAGTGATGACGCGTCTCTACCCAGATCCAGTCTCATCCAATCAGAAGCACTGCCCAGATCTGGGCAGTGACGCGTCTATGGAATAGGCTTTTTGCATTAGTTGATCACGTGATCAACTTTCGGTAAACACGAAAACAGTTCGCTTTAGTAACATTTTGTTAGCAGGAACTGAAAGTGTATATTAAACTTAGGTAACCTGTAAATTTTCAGGCGTATATCTCAAAAGTAGCGATTGCAACGGCCGCCGAAAATTAGAAGGATTTGCATGAGAAAAACAACTTTTGCCACCCAGTCACGCTTGAATGGTTTTCGATACAAATCATTGTAAATTTCGAAATTTTCAACTGTCGTGAACTATTTCCTTAAGCATTGCGGGGCTCAAATCCCCTTCTTTTAATTATTCATAACAGGCACTTTGAGCCCTTAAATGCGTAAGGGAAAGATTTAACGACTGTTTAAAAATTTCAGAATTATCAAGGAGTTGTTTGGTAAACCAATGATCCTATTTAATTTAAGAGTCATTGTCAAGTCATTTTTATAAAACATTTCGATTAATTCGGGTACAAATAATAGGGTTATGTCTTAGTCCAGAAAGGAATACGTTTACGTTTTTATGTGTTAGGCTCGTTCCGGAGTTGAAAACTCAAGGTTTGCTGAGAGAAAGGTTCGTTGCATTCAATTCCAAAATTTGCCGATTTCAGTCTTGTTCCGTGATATGACCACCACCTAAAACCAGTCACTCGCTGCAACGACATTATCTCTCTGACATTTAAATTCCATAATGCTATGAATTGAACTCTGAAATTAAACGATGTCAATGCCTTTATCGTTCAGTGTTAAGAATCGGTGAAATTAACCAGGTGATCGACTAAATGATCCATAGATCGAACTGTGAGAATAAATGAATGAACTAATTAATAGCTACGGTTGTTTTTGTCTTTTTTGTGTAGACTATTGGTGTGGAATTTCATCATCTTGATTTATCCCATGAACTAAAATAGGTGTCAATTTTGTGCAGTTTTAGTAAGGGTACATGAATTGCATATTTATTAAAAAAAAGGGTTACCCCAACCCCCCCCCCCCCCCCCCCCCCCCCCAAAAAAAAAAAAAAAACAACCTCTTTTTTTTTTTTTTATTTTAAATATTATTTTTTCTTTATATAAATAATACAAAAAAAAATAAAAAAAAAATAAAAAAAAAAAAACATACAAATATAAAAAATTAATGAGTATGTCTCCCCCCCCCCCCCCCTACCGAAAAATAAACCCAACGCTAGCCTTTTCTTTTGTCTTGCATAAAATCAATATTTCATTCTTACAATAACAATAGCTACAAAAATTCTGCAAGAATAAGAGCCAGTTACATGACCTAGTTATATAATTAATTTGGGCGATCTCGGGTCAGCGTGATCTTTCTCTCTCCGTAGATAAAACCACTAAACTGTCATTCTATCAGGTACTTGTTCAAAAAAGTTGTAGAGGGAGATAATTATAGTTCTGTGTAGAAAACCCGGCATATTCTGAAGTTGTAACAAGCTCAATTTTGCTTCTTTCGTGCATAGAAATATAAAGGGAGTGTTATATTAAAAAAAATTCGGTAATTTGTTTAATTTAGAAACTGAAATCATGAGGCGGATCACTGTTAAAATTATTGTGGTCAGGGAGGGTGAGTACTATTGGCTACCAAGAGGAAGACATTTGCACCACATTTCATGACATTTTCTGGCTCAATTAAAGTAAAATAGTTCAAGACTTGACAAGTATCTGGTGATAATCATGGGCGCGCTCAATGATGATCTGCCCCTGGCTTACGCCCTTCACAACGTTTATATATATAATTAGTCTGTGCTTTCTCAGTAAACAGGAGAAAGGCGCAACTACCACTTTGTACCGCTACTCGTGTCTCGTCTTTCCCTCGAGTCACGGAGACAGTTAATTGACGGAAAACAACCAAATGAATATTCGCTCAATGCAGTGCTTAATTTCTTAAGACCTCCTTTAGAAATACGGTGCATTCTCCAGTTCTGGAGTTCTCATTTTCACCAGGGGCCGCCAGTCTCAGGGGCAGTCGAGACTCTTCGTGTCTGTAGATAGATAAAAACATAACGTTTCTTAATTTAGGGCCGGGAACCAGCAATTTAGCTTTCGGGGTGCAGTGGAGAATAGTGTCAATACTGCATGTACGAGAATAGGCACGAGGAGGGCTATTTCATTACATTTTCTGTCTCAACTGAAATAAAAGAGTTCAAGACTTGACGTAACACCACGTATGACAATCATGGGCGCGCTAAATGAGATCTGCCCTTAGGGGCTTCAATTCTCAGCCATTTAAACTTAGTCTGTGCTTTCTCAAGAGTACACTGGAGAGTCGAGCAGTCTTGTGTCTTCCTCGAGTAACGAAGACTGTTAATTGATTAAAAGCAACTAAATTGATGCTCCAAAAATAATATATGCCGTTAATGAGTCATGATTCTTTCTTTGACTCAGGGGTCAAACGTTCCACGGAGCACAGATACAACCATTACCCCTGGGAGATTTAGCTGGAGCGACCGACAGTAGGAAGTTTAAGCAGCCAGGACGGGGATAGCATCGAAAACGTCATTTATTGTGACGGTTATCTCAACTGGCTGAATAGGTCAATTGTTGGCTGATTTTCCTGGAGTTGAATTTTCAGGCAGGCATCAAAGTTTCAAAGAAAGAAGACTGATTTATCGTCGAGTCTTTAAGGTCTTTAAGTCCTCTATAAAACGTCAGGTTGGAAAGTTTCACGTTTTAGTCCAGTGACGGCGAAGAATTGTACTAAAAAATGTGATGCCCGTTGCGTTGCAGAAAGGGAAATTGTTGTTTTCGTTCCCGTTCCCGTCCCCGTCGGTTTGTTTAAACTCCCTAATAAGTTCTTAAGTTGCACTGACGCTTTAACTGTGGACTGGAACTTAACCCGCCGGCTCGTAAGTTACACTACCACCCTTTATCACTATTACAACTTATACCACCTCAAGTCTTCCATTGAGAAAGGTTTAAGTCCGTCTAAATCTTCGAAGGCCAGAAAACCTTGTAGTTGATTACGTCGTGTGCAGCAATATATATAATACTGAAACTAGAGTATTGCTGTTTCCGTAATTGGAGTCTCCATTTTAAAATGAAAATCTAAAATCTGTGATGTATCTGCAGATTTCAGTGCGACTTAATATTTCAACACTTTAGAATCGAAGCTCAAAAGTTAACAAAATTTGAATGTTAGAAGTTAACATATCGCCCTCGCCTGGTAACAGAGGCTTGTGCAAACGCAACACTGACACAAAAAGATTGAATGAGGTGTTTTCTATGAAAGATTATTAAGTAAAGTAACTACCAAGACAACTGAGCCACTCCAAAAAAATGACAAAAACTTTAATATGCAATTATAAAATCATTCTGGGTTGGAAAGCCATGCTCGACTGTGAATATTTCGCAAATAGTTTGGAAAAGAAGTAGTAGAAATAATCATGAGCATGCAAAAAGACTGAAAGAACAAAGGTGGATGCTTTCAAAAGGTTATCAATTTCGTGGTTTATGCTGTGTTCTCTAATGACTGCTGTATTTCACATCAGCGTCCACAGCATATGTTACAGCGTTAATAGGCATTTCCATATTTTCCCTTGTCATTTTATATGTTCGGAATTTTGAGTTCAGCAAAGGGCCGCTGATAAAACAAGAGATAGAATGTAAAGTGAATTTCCATGTAAACATCAAACCCTCATAAAAAACAACTTGGGCAATCGTTGAGGTGCGAAATTTAACGCCACTTTCACACCTTCGTAATTTTATTTCCCCTTGGTCCGTTAAGCAACGCTTATAAATAGATAATCCTAGGCTTTGACCAACTGAGACATTGAAAAGGCTTTGGATTTTTAACGCCCTAAATTATTTTGAATACGAATCTTGTCGGAAGAGATTTGTTTAATCTTGCAACGAACGACGAAGTTCAGTTTCGATGCGTTGAAGATCGCTGAACAACAAGAAGTAAATTCCTTTCCTTAAATTTGTCGCCAATATGAAACACATTAGCGAAAAATGCTGTTGATCATTTTACCAGATGTTTGTGAGGTGACAAAACTCAACGCAAAACATTTCGCTCCGGAATGATTTGTCAGATCTCCTAGACTGCGAGAACAAATCTATTAAGGCCTAGCCTTGACAACACGCCTCTGATAAGCCTAGAACTTGTCTAAATCCAACATCTGGGAAATCTTGCCTATTATCAATTAAGCTTCTGGTTCGAGCAAGCTATGTTTAAAAACATAGGAATTTGATTGACATGAAAATTATCCAAATTAGCGATTAAACATCCTTGTAAATGGCCGCTGGGTCCATCTAGCTCACGAACCAATGACTAAGTGCAATGAAATATCGTTTATCGTGAGAACCAATAGAAAGTGGTTTTAGAAGTTAAAATGACGCCTGTATTTGTCAGCAAATTTTGCTAATTGCCTTTATCATCAATTCAATCGCCTTATTGATTTTATATGATATGTCATACTCACACAGGCGGTAGTCCTTTCATGGTCTGTTTTGTCCTAAACCTGTCAGATAACTTCAGCAGTTTTGCGACAATTGTTTCAAGCTGCCACAAGTTATAACATCACTTGACTGCATTCAAGCGCGATTTCATCCGGATATTAAAGCACTTAAACCACCGCCAGAGTTGTGAAGCATGGCTTCTGTTGGAACTTGGCATCAACATATTTACAACAGCTCTCCAAAGCAACCTACCCCACACTTTGTGGCCAACATACTTGGGCTTCATTCGGGGCACCAACCGAACAGCTCAACAGTCGCTTGCCCTCGACAAGAACAACCGCCTGGTAAATTGCGTCGAGTTAAAGAGAGAGAAGTGAAACAAAAATACAACGAGCTGAATGATTCGGCACCCGATAGCAAGGAAAAGGAAATTCGGGTGCAATCAAAATCAGATACGAAAGGTAGGTGTCTTCATGCTCCGTTAATGGGCTCGGAAATTTGTGGCGGGTTAATCGATGCGGATCAATTTTCTAAACGGTTCTCCGCTTGCTTCCTCTTTATAGAGTCTTCGACAGTTCATTCCAAGGAACTCAAGAGACTTAAAGGGAAAGCTGGTAGAGAAAAAGTCAGAAAGAAAAAAGCTCGAACAACGTTCACGGGAAGACAAATTTTCGAGTTAGAAAAGCAATTCAAAGAGAAGAAATATCTGACTGCCACCGAGCGCAGCGATATGGCCTCTCTGCTTAATGTAACTGAAACGCAAGTCAAAATTTGGTTTCAAAACAGGAGAACGAAGTGGAAAAAGCAGGAGAAGATATGCGAAGACAACAATGAGAACGAAAAGGATTCACAAAGCGACAATTCAGACAACAAAGATAGTGTATCGTCGGAAATTTGTGTCGACAATGACGATAAAAGTTCGGACTTGGATGAGAGCGGTTAGCGGAGTCTTCTTCCGATTATTTATTTTACACACATAAACTCACAGCTTCAAAATTTGACCATTATTTGTCACTCTACGGACTTGAGAGCAAAAGTAATATTGTACGGAGTTCTATGATTGGTTTAATTGCATTTTTTCATCCTACGAGAATTATGACAATTATCTATACAATAGTTTTGTTCTTACATAAATTAAGAAAACTATTAACGAGCTTCTAAACGGTGGTAAAATCCTTGAATTGTCTTGAAATTGCTGGTCTACCATATCTCTGAACAATAGACAAATCTTTAATAACTATTGTAAAGGTTCTGGAGCTAGGAGCTAAAATAAATGGCCCCAGACAGGAAGCAATTGAGAAACAAACCTCCCTTTAAATGAACTCCACTTGTTCGCACGCGCATCGTGAGGTGTATTTGTTTTGGACTTTTTAGCTAGCTGAAGATAGTTCATTGAAGTGGAGAATGCCGCTAAGACAGGCGGATCCAGTTATAAACTAAATCGCTAAGACTGTAGTTATTTCCTAGGATAATCTATCATAAAAGTAATTTTATGCCACAGTAGTTGGCAATTAACTGAAGTAACCAGCTATTTACAGAAAATATTTCAAACATCTAACAGTTCCGAGACCCTTTTACGGCTGAGTCCGCGAAATAGTTACCACAATCACAAGACACCAGACTTACAGCTCAGTGAAATGTCCAAATTATATTGGTATTTAGTACTGGTTAAAGCTGACCTCATAAGCGAGACAATTAAATTCTACGGCAAGTTTTACCAACCGAAAAGACGTTATATAGAGTCAACTAGTAGTGGTCTTAATTATTCCTGACGTCTTCACTACACCACTCGCAGTTCGATCGACATATGTTCACTTAACACAGTAAATATTTTCAATTTGCGACCATCTGTTCGGAGCCATATCTTTTACTACTATTCGAATTGATGCCTTTGTTTTATAGAATTGTCTTCCCTTTGTTTTGAGTTCAAATTTTCATGATTTAATAATAGGTGGAATTTTCTATAGTCAAAGTCAGTGCAGGGGTATTACTAACACATAAAAACTATCAAGTGATATAAAAAGTTGCTTGCAATCTAAATTAGAACTTTGTGCCTGTTTCATAAACAGCAGATAGAGTTAATTGTAAACAAATGGGCTTCATTATTATTTGAAAATAATTTAGCTTGCGGCCTTTTAGGGTTTCACAGTGCTATTAACTGTTTTTATCTATGTGTGGTTTCTTTCGAACATGGAGCATTGTAATCAGTCTTTTATAAGTGTACGGCTTGAGAACGATGATTTGAAAGTTGAACTCCGTCTTGTTCCGTTCAATTTAAACGCGTTTGCATGTAATTTCTAGTATGGGCTGTGTTAAATTGAACAACTGGAACCCCAAAGTGGTGTCTTCAGGCATGATCTGGCTAGCTGTTATGCATTTCTTTAAAATAACGTACATGAATGTAAGCTCACACTACTTGTGTCCTATTAGCGCTACACGTAACCGCAAGTTTTAAGGAAACCACACGCCTTTTGTTGTAAAGGAGACTTAAAAAATACTTAAGTTCCGAAAGGGAAGTTTGCATACTATTTGCATAAACGGTTTCCGAAAAGAAAGCTGCGTTGTATTTCTATTTACATGAAACTCGGCGAACTTGATGGTCTAAATGGTCGCTGATTTTTAAAAGCAATTTCATCATTTTTCAAAGTAAACACTAAAATTTCATTGTGTCTTAATTAACCTTTTCCAACCTCAAGTCAAATTTTTAAATTAAGCGAAGTAGAAAAGATTTCTGAGAATTGATGAATCAAGAAATGGGCCAGATCACTAACTCGACTAATAACTGAAACCTGATAATCATTATTTCAAATTGTTCATGTTTGTCAAAATCAAGTTAAAGAAAAACGTATTTGACTAGTGAGTTTTCAAGTTCTATTTCGAGAGCTTTTGGTTTCGAATAAGTAATTGAGACGCGTTGAGAAAATCGCTTATGGGACTCCAAATTATTTGTAAGATGAAGACAATGAATGACAGCCTGCCATCGAGTTGACTAAAAGACATTAAATTTGAAGGAAAGCTAAACTGTGAAGAGTCAGTAATGAATCCGGTTGAAAGACGTGTTGTAACATCTCTTGAAAAATAAGTTAACAAAGAATGGTTAAGAACCGGAAGAGTGGAAAATGAAAGGTAATATTGTAAAAATAAACCTTTTTACATCGTTCTTGAATCTTACATGTTAATGGTTTCAGTAGAACGAAGAAACGAGCAAGGCTCGTTAATTGTCACAAGACTAACACTCTTGTACTCTGTCGATAAAAGGTCTTCCAACCAGTTCGATGATTTCTTTTGTTTGTCGATTGGTGATGTGCTCGGACATATGTACTTCGAACATACTAATGGACTCTTTCAAACAATTTGCTCTGTCCATTTACAAAATTAAACAAACACTTTTAGTAGCTATGTCAAGCAGGAGACAACGTATTGCCGTATTTTATCTAAAAATTTGTAGTTAAAATGCTTAAACGGTATACGCGGTTGGGCAAACGATTTGCTGCAATTGAATTATAGTTAATGGGCCGCGAACTGAGATCCCTCGGATTACTTTTGCAAAATGTCGGATATGCCCAAAACAATTTCATCAAATAATAAATTTGCGCCAGAAAAATGCCTAAAGTGAGTCGATGTATCGTGACAGACTTGTGAGCTGTTAAAAGTGTTTTATCTGATAGATTTTATACCACCCACTATTTTTGTGGGCAGAAGTCGGGTTAATTGAGCTAGCATATCACAGTTCATAGTGTGTTTGCAAGAAAACGTGTCGTCAAAAATTTAATAAGAGACAAGGCCACCTTCCCTCGCCATTTTAAATGCTTTTTACTTCAACTACAAACTGCTGCTTCTCAAGCAATTTCAACCATGTGCAATCGATTAATAAAATATATAATCTTTCGTCTCCAGTGGAGCTATTGTGTTAAGCCATTTAGCGGCTTCTTTGAGTTGGCTTAACTTCAAACAAAGCGTTGATCACAAAGATAAACAAATGTGAGAAACATTACACCTAACGTTTAACTGAGGCGCTGTGAAAATCACTTAATGTTTATCTTCTGGTGAGAAAGCCATCAACAGACCGCCTCCGGGGACAAAATTCACGTTAAAAAGCTCCCAAAATTCAAACACTCAAGAGACTTGAGCTGCTCCGTGTGAACAATTGCGCGTTTATCTATTAAGCAAAGCGATTTGGGCCCAGATAGCGGTAATTAAAAATTTTGACAATCGGATTAACGACCAATGAAAAGCCATAACAAACAATTCTTTCTTCTTTATTGACTTGGTCGGTTTTGCTGATAAAGCCCTAATTGAGCATGAGTAGGATCGATTTCTTCTTAATCGCTGCAGCTCAATTGACTAGTTACTCTCCACTTTGCCCTTAAATTGGAACTTTTTAAGCACAAGTCGTGTATTTTCCGTCCCAATCTTGAGAAAATTGACGTTCTGCACGCGTATGAATGATTTTACCAGCAGTAGAAAGCGTTATGTGTAAAGAGCTTACAGACAGTGTAGACATGGGTGCATTCCAAGAACGACATTTAAGTCTCCTCTTAAAGATGAACCTCGACAGCTTGTTAAGATTACCAAGTGATCTTGAAAAGGTCGGCTTAACAGTTGATTGATTTCTGATCTATCAACCAAGGCAAAAAGCTTTCGGAAATAATGTGGAAAGGTCTGGAAAGGCAACTGATTATTAAAAAGGCCTCAATGAAATTGTCCAAACAACATTGAATGATTCCTTTTTTCCAGCCTTTTTTTTGTAAATTGCTGAAATGGAATCAAATATGGCATATTGTACACCCGATCTCACCAAAATATTGTCACAGAGTTTTGTGTGTTTGACACTTCTACATTCCAGCCTAAATAGCATCTGCCACGAAAGGACTCGAAAATGAGTATCGCTGAACCCCTTTGGCGAACTTAATCACTGAAATCTGTTGCCGGATATCATTGTTTATCGACAGTAAATATTCTAGAAATTCAATTTTCCAAGATGATTTTAGTCATTGTATCGTATTCTCCTTTACTCAGATTCTGTTTTGATTACTTCTTTTTGTTGCACAAGAATTTATGGCCAGGAACACGTGAATGAGTCCTGCAAATTGTAGCGCAGAGTAAACAACTGTTTTCCTTGATTATAAGTGTTTTCATTTCAGCTTTAAGTGTTCTAGGTATGGTTTTTCTTGAACACCTAATTGGATTGAACGTTCTGTTTTAGCCTCATGACTCTTAACAAGCGGTTAAGCCGATTAAACATTTCCGCTTTTGTTTTTATTTAACGTTTAAGCCTTATCTATTCATAGAATACTATTTAAAACTACTTTAGTAAGCTTGTGATTTTTAATACTGATTTTGAAAAGCTGTTTTCCGGTCATGACTAAACAACCTCAAAGTCATATCAAATAAATAGCATCCAGTCCACAAAAACAGCCCCCTCCGGCGGGTAGACTTGTCCGTTCTTTGAAGATCTTTGAAGAAGGTAGTTCAAAGGAGGTTGGAATCATTCTAAGACTCTTATGGACAATGTAAAGTTGTAGCTGGTGGCAAATCGTATTACGGTTTTCAAAACAACACTCTAGATTAACAGACTAGACTCTTGAACAGTAAACTTTGTTCATATTGAGATCAGAGCAACTAATCCAAAGACAAAAAGCTTTTCCAGTTCCAATATCTGTAAAGGACCAACGTAAACAACAAAATATGATCAAACTCGGGGGCTACCGTTCGCTTAAGGGGGCATTCTTGGGTTGCCATATTTTTTGGGGGGAGGGGGGAATGCTGTTGATTCGGGAAGGAAATAAATAAATAAGGGTAGAAAAGGTATCCAGTCTGTACAGTCGAGCCCCGCTCTACGGACACCCGCTTAATATTACGGACAGTTTGCTTTGTCCCTGGGGAAAGAAACCCTTTCACCTTCTCTAAATTCTACCCGCTTAATACGAACACCCATTGATC